TACTCAACTAATTATTTATTTCTTTTGTGCTAAAAGGATTTTAATAAGTTCATGGGTTAAAATTTTAAAATTAAGGGCGTACAAGGAGACTAAACACTTTGGGAAGTTTAAAATAAGAGTATTTTCTAAAATTTTTGAACATATTAACTTTTTCGAATTGCTGTTGAATTTATGAATATACCACAAATAACTTGGCGAATTGAAACCTCGTAATATATAAATTGAAAAAAAAAAAAGCAAAAGCGATCCCTATTGTAGTGGCGAGCGAAATGGAAGCAATTTAAATCATGAAAACAAGGTTGTAGGAGAGCAATAAAACCTTTTGGCAAAGCGATGGAGTGCTACTCTCTAGATATTTGAGACAGGTTGACCTCCTTGCTTCAATGGTATAATTTTCTCTTCGCTGAGCTTCATTTCTTCTCGGTCCATAAAAATAAAATATAGGACTAGTTCCAACAATTAATCACGGAATAAAATGTCAAAAGAAAAAAAAAAAAAATCATTGATATGATTGCTCGTACTGAATAGTTGGGAAGTGGTCCCAAATACATAGGCTAGGAAGACAATGTGAAACTCTAGCGAGTGAATGAGCTTCCATATTGGCTTGCCTACAAATTCATCTTACTTTGATATCCGGTCTAGCATGAAGGAATCCTTTACATTCCTCAAGGGCAGCCCCCATCTTGGAGAAGTCCATCATGTGCAGTGGTAATTGTACTATACTCAGTGAAGATAGCTCCCTTATCCTGGAAATGATTGATTGCCCAATACAACGCCTCCTTCACTGCAACTACCTCAACGACCCTCAGAGGACACAATCCATCATGATGCCCTGATATTGCCTGGGAAAATCTCTCTTCTCCGTCTTGAAAAATCGCTCCAAAGCCGTAGCGGCACAAATTCTCAAGGGATGCCCCGTCCACAAAACACATCCAAGCGGCATCAATGTTCTCTTCCGTGACACTTTAGACACTAACATAGCTAGAGTTTGAGCCCCGCATCAGTTGGTGGAACATTTGCTTTATGTCATCCTTTCTGGAACTCCAACGCTTGGAATTTGATCTGTAGTGGCCGGTATACCGTGCCATTCCATAGTGATTCGTTCGGCAACTCCAGATCTTCCATGCCAGCATGTAGAATTCCTCCGCCCTTGTAGTAGGCCCCCCATTCAGTACCTAGAGAAAGAAATCACAAAAAGTAAGTATGGGATTTCATATATATTATCCCATATCCGCCACACATCTCGTGCCAGGTCGCACTTCATCAGCACATAGTCTAAATCCTCCTCCCCCACACAGTGATTACAGGCCAAGTTCACTTCTATTCCCTTCCATTTTAATGTGTTTGGTGGGCAAAATATCTCTCAAAGCTCTCCACAAAGTCTCCAACTTTCGGTGGGATCCGTAGTTTCCAAATCTTCGGCCAAAAGTCCCCTTCCACTCTGCCCTGCGTCAACCCCTTGTATTTCTGGCACATGTAGTACCCCAATTTTACCGTGTGCACACCATTCTTCTCATCATCCCAGATCAGCTTGTCTCTTATCCCTCTCCGGCTTAAAGGTATCGACAAAATCCTTTTGGGAAAAACAATCCATGAGCTTTGTCAGATCCCAGTGTCTTCCATCTTCCTCCATCAAACTTACTCACTGTCCGATATTTATCAGCCTTCAACCTCATATTTTTCGCCACAAAGTTACCATTTTTCCTCGGTATCTAGGGGTCCAGAACCCAATATAAATGTCTTCCCCATTCCCCAGTCTCCAACAAAATCCCGTTTTTATGGTGTCCCTTGCCTACATTATACTCTTCTATGTGTAACTATGGTTGACAGTTAACTGTGCTAACAACAGATCCCCTCCAGGAAAGTATCTAGCTTTAAGTATTTTAAAGAAAAGAGACTTGTTGGGATGTCAACCTCTAGCATTGTTTGCCAAATGATGCCAAGTTGAACCAATGAAGGTCCTAAACTCGCGGAACCTAAAATCAACCAACGTGATTAGGAACTTAAACAATTTCATTTAAAGGTATCAAAAAATTTGATTATATATAAACTCTTTCTAATTAACCCACTATCAAGAATGATAGGAATTAAAGTTATTAGAAATAAAAGAAATAGAATGAAAAAAACATCACAATGTCGTATCTTAATAAATAGATTCACTCCTCATTCAACAAGATGGTAAAATAATATTTCTTGAAAAGAAATACTCTTAATATTATTGAGATAAATAATTTCTGAATGCCTTACAATGAAGATTTGATAGGTTATTTATGTGCTAAGTTAAGTAAATAAAAAATAAATAAATCTCTTAATTTAATTTGCAGATATATAAAAAATAAATAAATAATTAAAAATTAAAGACTAATTTTCTAACTAAAATAAATTTAGTTTTTTCCTTAAATTAAAAGAAATTGTGGTCAAACTGAGGAGGGAGACATGAAAATAAATTAAAAATTAAAAGTTAATTTATTAACTAAGATAGATTTAGTCTTTTCATTTAATTAAAAGAATTATGGTCAAATTAATGAGGAGACATATGGAAATTTAGGGCCGACCATAAGATCTCTTTTTTTGGCATATTCTCTCTTTTTTATTTGGATTAGGCCTTCTCTTTATATTTATGACAATGCTCACATCATCCCTCCCCCTCTAAAAATGATTCATCATCGAATCAGACACTTTTTATACTGGAGTTTTGCCAATCCTATTTTTTTATAGAAAATGTCATGCAAAACAACACTATTAAATAAAAAAGGTTTGAGGTGAGTTAATAATTTTTTCTTGAAAGATGACCTCCTTAGCTCATGTTCCATATAATAGCATTTTATTTTCATTTTGCTCAATCCTTCATTTCCTCCAGACTTTATGGAGTTTTTGAGCTGCTGCTTATCTTTGACTACATTTTTAAGTGATAAGGATGCAAGTGTAAAATTCTGACCGTTCATGTTAAAGGAATAATAATTTTTATAACCATCATAAGTTGCACGCTTATCATATTGGCAGGGTCTTCCTAGTAGGACGTGACTAGCATGCATGGACACAATATCACAATGTACTTTATCAGTGTATCACCCAATAGAGAAGAAAACTAATACCTGTTTAGTCACCTTCATCTCTCTACAATCAGTCAACCACTGTAACTTATAAGGGTGAGAATGACGCGTGCATGTTAACCCAAGTTAATCAAATAGGGTAGTGTTAACAACGTTGGTGCAACTACCGCCCATCTATAATGAGAGTACATACATTCCTATTTATAAGACAACGAGTGTGGAAGAAATTATACATACATTCCTATTTATAAGACAACGATTGTGGAAGAAATTATCTCTCTATTTACTTTCTTCCGGCTTGACTTGGACATTTAAAACTCTTCTGATAACTAAAGCT